AGTCTTTCAAGTATTTTTTTACTATGAAAAGTGCTATCAAATGAAGTTTTGTTTTTTTAAATGTAATACTTTGTATATTTTTAGTGGAAATGGTAGTCCCTTTTTTCTGCTTCCAAATATATATGGTTTGTTGAACTTACATTTATTACTTTAGTCAAAAACTTGAAGTTTATGATATGTATTTCGGCCCTATATTGTCTTTTGATATTTCGAAATTTCCCATATCGACAGATGACACATAACTTTGACCAATTCTTTAACGCCAGGTGTTACTGTAACTGGTCGGACAGACTTAATAGGCCCCGAGATAGCTGCTCAGTCAGTCATAATAAACCACGTCACTACCAAATAGGATGTCTGACTTAGAAACCTTGACCATAAAATTCAAGATCACGGATATGGTCAAATCGATGTTCACCATTAGCCAGTCTGGAAGAAACCTCAAGTACGTGTTAATTATTCTCTGTCAATATTGCATGTTACAATAACCATCTATCAATACGCCCGCCTCTGAGTTCTATAAGAGGTCGGGGAAGGCTTTCCCAATCATGACCTTCAAATGTTGCGTTCTCGAAATGCTCAAGGACTAGTCTCTCTCCCTGGTGAAAGGTAGGATGTATGACTTTTATAAATTCACCTGACCTTGACAACAACCTTCAAGGTCACTGTCAAGGTTAAATCTATTCTCTCTATAAGTCTGAGAAATCCTAGCAACAGTATGTCTTACTTCTGCTCTGCCAATAATGCTCTAAGACGTATGTTGTATAACGTATGTTCATTTTAAAGTAAGAAATGAAATATTTGCGTTATGCGCTAATAGGCAATATAATAATATATATTATATTTATATATAATTAACATTATCACCAAGAACTCGCACACATACTCTGCTTTAGACCACACTACACAAGTTCTTTCGGCTTGATCCACCTCAATCGTCGGAGAGCATTGCGGTGGTCTACCAGCTGGAGAGCTCCTGCATTGGAGGTTTGCATGTCCGCTACTTTCTTAATATTGTCTATAACCTTAGCTTTATTTAAATCACGTTTAATGTCCCTATTGTGAACATACCAAGAGGCAATCCAGCACGTTCCTCAGAGATTTATTTAAGAATGTTTGAATACTTCCGGTGATAGAGTTCTTAGCAGACTCATAATTGTTGATAACCGTAGAGCCATACAGGGTTTAAGCTCTGATAATAGATCACAATTTTGTTATGGAGAGATAGCTTTGAGGATCTCTTAAATAACTAATGATATTGCTTGTAGAGGGGGTTCTATTCTATCATCTTTTCTCATATATTAACACTGAGTTGATAGCAGCAGGTATCTGTTTTTTCTTTTTGGTGAAACTTAATTTTTATGACTAATATAGGGTGTTTGGAAAGTCGATACAAAGTCTCAGGGAGGGGATAGGGCAGACCATTCAGAGTCTTTTAAGCCAACCATACCTCAGTACAAAGTCTTACGGTTTTCGAGATATTCGGATTATCAAATTTAAATCATAAATTAGTAAATGGAATAAAATAAACTATTGAAGCATGCTTTATTGGTGCTCAAAGTGAAAACTATTGTTTCTAATACATGCTCGGGCTCTACATGTTACTTCGGTAGTTGTTGTATTTAATAACCTGTCTTGCTGCCTTGAATATAAAGCTTCTCGAATTTTTCTTATTAAATGGTATCTTGATACGATTTCTTCAGTGTAAACTAACTGTTTAGCCCGCCCCCAGACACAGAAATCCAATGGTGTCAAGTTCTGGGATCTAGCAGGCCACGAAGCTGGTCCATCTCTGCCTATCCAGCTATTCGGAAAAGTATCGTCTAAATATTGTCTTGCGTCTAAACAGAAATAAGCTGGATATCCGTCGTGTTGAAAAACGATTTGCATGTCATCTGGAATTTCTACTCCTACAAGCAATTCGGGAAGATCATTTTTCAAAAAGTGTAGATAACCGTCGTCGTTTAATCTTTCAGGCAAAAAATGAGGACCAATTAATCTTTGTCCCATGACGGCGGCCCATACATCAACGGAAAATTTGTGCTGGAAAGACACCTGTTTAAAGACTATTTCATATAGCCAGATGTTCTTTCAGTGATAACAGGAACAAAAATCATATTTTTTCAATAAAAATCGAAAATCTCGAATAACACGAAAACCCTAAGACTTTGAACTAAGGTATTTTTGGCTTAAAAGATTCTAGATGGACTGCCCCATCACCTCCAAAGAATTTGTATCGACCTTCCAAACACACTTATACTGGTAGAACAGGTAACTGTAGGGTTAACTGGCAAAATTTAGTTGCAATTACCTGTAATTATGTTCCGGTCTCGTCGAAGTAAGAACGACTTGTAGTACCCTCATAGCGCACCAAACCCACGAGTTCAAAGCGCGCATGCAACGAAGGAAAGCAGCACCGTGCCCCTGACCTTACACCTCTCTGGCCGCCTATAAACACTCATTCCTTGTTCTCATGCCAAACCGTTAACATGTCAATCGGATTCGCGCATCGATATTTACGCTTCCGGCAGAGTCGAGGAATTGCTGAACATATTAGAATTTGACAACGGGACAGAGGGTTAGACGATAGATGTGCATTGTCGGCGAGATGCCGACGGACGGTCACCTTCAATGTTCCTTTCGTCGCGGAGCAAAATTAGAAAGTGGCGAGCAGGCCTCTTTTTCTGAAGGGGCGTCACCATCAGTGTTAATTGTCGACTAATCGACCTGTTTTATGTGCAAGTAGGGTTTGGATGCCTCACCGGCGTTGCAGACTGTGCCTGACCGTTACCCCCGACATAACAAGGCCTAACAAATCAGATGCGAAAAGGCTGTTGACATGTCTAGATATAATAAAGCAGTATCGAAATCTCTTCTAATTAATTATACCGCTCTGTGGGCGAATTGGCAAGATATGCTCGGCGCCTGCGCGGCTTCAATGGTGATTTGATTATTCTTTCTCATCTGCCTCAGTATGCCAAGAATACAGTTTCGATATTACGTTCAATCGGTCACGTGTGAAGTCTAATATTTCTGCAAAAATGGAATATGTGACAACATAGCACCTAACCTCAAATTCTGAGGCTGTTATCATGTATGAATGTTTATGTTGTTTTGCTTTGTAAACTTTGAATAATTGTTGTTTTAAGCTTATATTTGTGCCTCGCAATTGTTTCCCTAAGTTTTCAAAATGCCTTATAAGCGCTGCGTTCCTAATTGTGCCGGTAATTACACGAAAGGTCCGAAGGTTCCGTTCCCGGTGAATGAAAACGGGCGCATAACGCATAAGATGGCTCAATGCCATCCCTCGTAGTGACTTAGTGATTAAAAAACACTAGAGTATGCAATTTGTACTTTGCTGAGGACAGCATCATTTGGGAATCCACCAATTGACCAAAATACTTTTCAAAGGACATCTCAAGCAGAAGAAGCCGAAATGAAAAATTGAGGAACAAGGAAGAAGAACTACTTAAATCACTGCAAAATAACATTGATAAGTATATCTCCTAACAAAAATCAACAAGTTTTCAAAATTATTCAGACTTTCTCAAATTTCAGTACATGGCAATCTTCAGATGAGTGGCATAAACTTGTTCAGGATACAGTTAGAATATAAACCAGCATCTATTATAACACAGTATGTAATTATTAATAGAGACCTGCATATAAAATGTACTCCCAATAACTGACATTCCACTCGGGTGATATTAAGACTCCATATTTAGACACAGTTACTCATCAAAAAAACAACAATGTTTTGCTCTATGTTGTATACAATCAGTCCACATTCTTATAGATTTGTTAGGAGCCATGGAGGACTTATTTTACGACACCAGAATACTCTGAAGTTAATTTGTAATACGTTGATGGTCGATCCAATTCCAGATGAGAGACATAACTTTTCAGGCTATGCAGAGAACCTCTTCAGATATGTAAAACCAGTTGAGAACATGATTTGACGGGTGAAATCCATATTCAGCCATATTTAGATTTCAAGGAGGGTAATGTTGTTGGAACATAAATTAGTAATGCTTCATTAGCTATAAGACTATATATATATAATGATTTCAAGCTTTTATTCTAATTTCAAAGAAGTTGTTCATATTTGACCTGTTTCTAAAATTATACAATATTACAACAATTATACAACATTACAAAAAAACATTATTGGATTAGAGGGAAGAGGTTACCAAATTTTTTGTGTTGTGATAATAATGCATTGAATAGTAGAGCGATGGCACATTTTTCTCCAGATAGCAAATCAAGCATTGTTTATCGGTCAGATAAAAGCTTTTTTCTTCGTTTTTGAGACAATGTATCCGCAATAATTGGCTGAATTTAAAACCAGACCAACATTTTAACGTATCCAGACTTTGAAACGCATGAGGTTAGTGTCGCTCCATTTAAATCTCTTGAAACATTGTATCAGCGGTGGCCGCAGTAGTAGACTCTTCGGTCTCCTGATCAGTCGCCGTGCGCTATGCGGGTTCGAGTACCGTCCCAGGAGAAATTTTTCCCTTGGCTATGGAAGTTAAATTACTGCTACCGAAATACTTGTTTTTAAAAAAAACCTTATTTCGAATAACGGTACAAAAGGACTTTTGTGAAACCTTGTCACGATGATGCGTAAAACAGGACGGTTAGACAAGAAGTGACAAGATTTCCTCACACATGGATTTAGTACAATGCAACAGAAATATAATATGCTGATACAGAGGATGTTAACATGTGACCTTCAAGGCGCGATATAAGATTCCATAGCGCATATGATGGATATAACTTGGATGTTGTGATTTTCTGTAGGTGGTAGACGGTCTAACTGTCGGAGGTACCATCCGGCGAATCTCGTTGGCGGAGCCAGAATATGTGCATGTTGCAGAGTCTGTGTGGCGTTCCCCCTTTCCCATGTATCCCCCTATAGCCCCACGGTACCCAATGGGTGCTTAGGTCTTAGGCCTTCGTGGTAGTTGGAGTATAAAAAAAAATCAAATGGAAAGTCATAAAATATTGAAACATAGTAAAGGTTTCACCCTAAAAGCTTTATATCCTACAAGCCTTGAAATACAAGATGTTCACCCAGCTCTCAATATATTCAATACATTTGTAATATATGCAGTATCAATGTTTTATAAAAACATACAGCACTCCAAAGAGACAGCAAATTTTTATTAAATTTTTTTTTATTGATACATGTGAGTGGCAACAGCGTTCACAGACCGTGTGATTTTGTGCTGCTATAAATAATCAAGTTTTACACTGTTTTAAGTCGAATTAAATATATTTGCAAATCAAATTCGCGTTTTTAGAAACTGTTTTGCCAATACGCATAAAATCCGTAAGTTATTTTTTACTTTTTATCAACATAACAACGATAAACACCTCGTCGACTCGCCGAGTTTTGGACTTTGGACTCCCTTCCCACGGCATTGAATTCTGTGCTGCGTTGCCACGTTCAGCCTGAAGTATTGGAAGGTCTTTGAGATGGCTGGTGGATCTATAAAGAAATGTGATGCTTGCAAGAAGAATATCTCAAAATCAGCTCTCAGGCTTCATTGTGGCGTTTGTAAACGCTTCTTTCATCTTGAGTGTGAGAAAGTTAGCGAGGTCGATGCAAGGCTTATGGCAGCTGAAAAAAGAGCATGGAAATGCGGCTCCTGCAGAACACCGTTGGCCTCTCCTCTATCAACACTATCAGGTGTTGCTGGTAGGAGGTCTATCCTGATGTCACAACCGATTAATGATCAATCTGATGTCATTACGGAGCTCAAATCTCTTATTAGACGAGAACAAAGAATTAATCAGATCTTTTGATTTCTTGAGTAGCCAGTGGGAAGAGGAAAGGAAAAGGTCCAAGGTATTGGAAGAGATGGTTGGAGATTTATCCAAGGAGAACCAAATGCTTAGGAAAGATGTTGATGGATTGAAACTTACTCTTAACAAAGAGGAATCTAAAAGGTTGGTTAATAATTTGTCTATTACCGGTCTTGTTACTGAAAATGATGATAAAGAGCAAGCAATGGAGAAAGCTTTGGCTTTATTTTCCTTTCTGGATATACCTATTTCTCGGAATGATGTAGCTCATTTTAAACAAGTTCCAACCAAAAACGGCGTAAAGGCTATAGTTACCTTGAAGCCTGAACATAAAAAGCAGATTCTTACAACTCGTTCCAAAAAAGGGAAACTAACACTTAGGAACACTAAATGAGGTGATGCAGATTCTAGAATTTTCGTCGATGAGGAGCTGACCAAGGAAACGTACCAGTTATTCAAACACTCAAGGCAACTTAAGGGTGTTGGCTACAAATATGTGTGGCATCGAGAGGGGAAGATTCTAGCTCGCAAGAATGATGGCTCTGATATTATTTTCATCCGGAATGTTAATCAAGTAAATGACCTACTTAAGTAGCTTTTTATCTCATTTGCTTTGATTGTTTTTTATATATATATTCCATTTGTTGCTTGATTTTTATAATTTATCATGGCTAGTACGAATCTTGAAAATAATTTAAGGATAGGACATATCAATGTACGATCACTGATACCAAGTTTGAACGAAATTAATTCTTCGATATATAATTTGAAGTTGGACATATTAGGAGTAACTGAATCATGGTTAACTGAACAAGTTAGTGAACAGGAAGTCAAAATAAACAATTTTAAGTTTTATCGCGTTGATCGTGGGTCTCGAGGAGGTGGAATAGGGGTTTATGTTCGATCTGATATTACAGTAGTTGAGATAGATGTAACTAAGGACCAGAGGGAAATTTTTGAGCAGCAATGGCTTATTCTCAAAATTGGCAAAATAAAATTGGGGTTGGGCATCATTTACCGTCCTCCTCGTTTTAATGTGATGACTGCTTTACGCCAACTGGAAGAATCAATAGCTAATTTAATTCCAGTGACAGATGAATTGATTATAATGGGGGATATTAATATTAATCTATTAAGACATACTAATATAACCAATCAGTTTAATAATTTGCTTGATACTTTCAACTTCAAGCAAGTTGTAATTAACCCAGCTAGGTACTCTCGAGACACAGCCAGTTTGATTGATGTCATCATCATGTCCGATGATCATCTCTTAAGTGGCAGTGCCCATCATCAGGACTTGCATCAGCATTCCGATCATCAGCTCATACACTGTTCAATAAATATTAAGATATCTGCCGTTAGGCCTATAGTTATTAAATATCGTAACTTTATACACTTTGACATTTATAGCTTCAAACAAGATCTTATAAACTTCCCTTGGTGGCAGGTTGTAGACTGTGATAATGTTAACCAGAAGACTGCAATTCTCTCAGATATGATATTAACTCTTTTTGATTCTCATGCGCCAATATGTGAGAAAAAAGTTACCAGTCCACCTTCCCCGTGGTTTACTGATGCGTTGCGTGCAATGAAGAATATAATATAACTATCTTTTCTCTAAATACAAACGTACTAAAAATTTGCGGGATTGGGCATCCTACAAAGAAATGAGGAATTTTTTTACGTCAGCTGTTCGACAAGAAAAGAGAGCTTATGTTGATTTTGTCAGTCGTACTAAAAAATCCAAAGACATGTGGAAGACACTAGACCAACTTAATATCTATAACAGATTTAAAAAAAATATAGATATTCCTAACCATCTTAAAAACCCAAATTCAATTAATCAATATTTTATCGACTCGGTGCGACCAATATCTAGCACTGTCGATACGAATACTATTTCTAAATATCTTAATTCCAAATGTACAACCGCAGAATTTGAATTGAAACTCGTTAGTGAAGATGACGTTTTCTGGGCAATATCGGAGATTGGGTCAAACGCCTCTGGTGCAGACGGAATTAGCCTTGACATGGTGAGGTTGTGTTGTCCAACCATCTTACCGGTGCTGGTTAACCTATTTAATTCCTGCATACAAAAGGGCATTTTTCCTGCCCAATGGAGAACGGCTGTGGTCCTGCGCCGCCTAAAATTAGCAGTCCTAAGGATGTCTCTGATTTGCGACCAATTAGTATACTACCAGTGCTGTCTAAAGTTTTTGAACAGCTTATTTATAGGCAAGTCATTACTTATTTCACAGATAATAATTTATTTCCCAAGTTGCAGTCTGGATTCCGTAAAGGGTTTGGTACTACCACGGCTCTGTTGAAGGTTCTAGATGACATTCTTTTGGCTGCGGACCGGGGTGAAACTTCGGCATTGGTGTTGTTGGACTTTAGCAAGGCCTTCCATACCCTGAACCATGCATTGCTGTGTGCAAAACTTTTGTACTATGGATTTAAACTTAAGACTATTCAACTTATTCGTAGTTATTTGGATGACAGATCGCAGTCGGTCTCAATTGATGGGCCTAAATCAAAACCCTTGAACGTGGATAGAGGAGTTCCTCAGGGATCACTTTTGGGTCCTTTATTTTTTATCATTTTTACTGCTGATATGCCGAAGTGCTTTGGTGACATAAACAATCAATAGATACGCTGACGATACACAGATTCAGCTTTCTTTTGTTAAGTCGGACGCAATTGAAGCGGCTAGGAGGCTAAACGAGTGTTTGGATTCAGTTTTCAAATACTCTTTTAATCATGGCTTGAAATTGAATCCTAATAAATCAGCCATAATCTACTTTGGGCCAGCTAAAGATTAGGCGTCTGTAAACTTGATGATAGCAATGGATGGTGTGGCAATACCGGTTGTTGAGGAATATAAAAATTTGGGCGTTATCTTTGATAACAAGCTTAGATTCCGAAGTCATGTGTCTAGGCTTCTACAAAAAGCCTATTTTAAGTAAAGATATTCTAAGTTTTAAGTTAAAAAAGGTTCTCTGCGAAGCACTGGTCTTGTGTCACCTTAACTATTGCAACTTTGTGTATGGTCCTTGCTTAGATGTATTTACTAAGGATAAACTCCAAAAAGTGCAGAATTCTTGCATACGACTTATTTACCAGCTTAGACGTCACGATCATGTCAGTCATAAACTTTCCGAACTGAAATGGTTGAATGTTTCCAATTGAGAAAAGCTGCATTTTGCTTGCTTTCTTCATAAATTGATTAAAACTAAAAGCCCTCCATATCTGTTTGAAAAATTAGCTCGTAGAAACCTGATTCACTCTCGTGCAACACGCTTTAATGTACTTTATGAAATACCTAAAATAACTAAAACCATGACTCAAAGCTCATTTTCCTATACATCAGTCAAACTTCTAAACCAATACAATATAGGTCAATTTGAAAATATGTCTCCTAATATGTTCAAACGAAAACTGAAACAACTGCTTCTGTGAAGTATAAGTTGTTTATTATTGCTTATTTTCTTTGTATACGTACATCTGTTGTTATTATTGTTCATTGTTGTTATGTAATATTCTAAAATTAATGTAATGTAAAACTTGTTTCTTGTCATATTACTTTTCTTTTTGGCTTGTTGTTACTTTTTACATGCTCGGTTAAGTTAACAGCATAGCTGGCCTTCGCCGAGTTTAAAATAAAGGCGTTCTTATTTATTTATTTATTAAATTTTCGTTATTCTTTATGTCTTTCTGTTGTTTCCCTTATTCCCTCCTTGGCAAGAGCTTACCTAAGTCCTCCTTGTTGGTTCTTGCTGGACACAACTGTTTAACAAGCACTACATTTTTTACTATATGTTGATGATACGTAATTTTCAAGTACCAGTATAGGTATACGTCTATCATCATAGTAAATTGTCCACATCTTCTTGTCAAATTTTGTTGATCGGTTGTGACTAACATTGGGTTAAGTATGTTATTGAAGAATTTATTATTTTTGGCAAAATATTCTACGCTTTTATAACGTTAACTTATTACTCAAATGTGCACGTAATGTTGACTGACGTATCAGTGAAGATCAGGGTGAAAATAGTTAATAACCTCTTCAATATTCTCCACCAAGCTGTCTTCGTATTCCAAAAACACATTTCTGAATTATCCGTCATTTAAATCAAGTAGAGTGTGTTAAATATGCTGCAATAATCATATATTATTCACTAGCGCTGATGTACGGCACGTCTCGCTGTTGGCCGGCCGGCCTACTCGTAGTGACGTCACGTGTCTGTTGTCAGACCTGGCAAGACGTTTGGGATAACGTTCTGGCACTGTTGCTTGGGTTAGGAACCTGGACCTAGCTTGTGAAAGCCAACTTCATACCAAGGATTAACAAAGACTTTTGGGATAACGCTGAAACATTGGACTCGGTTGCTTCGGATAGCAACATGGACCTGGTTTGTGATAATCAGCTTCACACCAAGGACGAATGAAGACGTTTGGGATAACGACCTTGGAACAGCATTATAAGAATGCACATGACCGCTTAGGAAACCGCCTACCTACCAGTTTTCATTAAACATTAGGTTTCATCTATGCGAGACTAGCCTTACATTTTGCTTGTGATAGCAAATTCCATCTGGATTGTGATAATTATAGATCAAGCTTGTAAGGATGCACATGAGAAGTTAGGAAGCTGCCGAAGTACCATCTTTCAATAATAAATGACAGAGATTAGGTACAGCTAATAGCCAATTTCACGCAGTTTGTGATAACCATGGAACAGGTATATAACTATGAACATGTCAGGATAGGAAACCATCAATGTATATATTTTTCTTATTACTATAGAAAAGGCACCTTATAGTATGCGAGGTTAGCGTTACATTTTGCCTGTGATAGCAAATTCCATCTGGTTTGTGATAATCCTGGAACATGATTGTCAGAATGCACATGACAGTTTTGGAAGCCGATAAAGTACCATTTCTCGTTAATAACAGAACAGATTAGGTTCCGTCTATGCGAGACTAGCGTTACATTTTGCTTGTGTTATCATATTTCATCTGGGTTGTGATAGCAATGTAGCATTATAGCAGCTTTCATTCATAACAGATAAAAATTGGATAGATACTTCTATGTGGGACTAGCATTACATTTTGCTTGTGATAGCAAATACCATATGGTTTGGGATAGCCGTCGAACAGGTCGCTAATATGCACATGAGAGGTTACGAAACCACCGAAGTTTCATTAATAACACCTGTTTGGTAATAACTATGAAACAGGACTGTACAAATGAACATGACCGGTTAGGAAATCACCAAAGTACTAATTTTCAGTAATAACGGAGATTAAGTATCATTATGCCCGATAAGCGTTATATTTTGCAATTGTGGCACTCAAACCGCAGTTCGCGCTCGATTCTGATGTCTTGCAGATCATATAATATATGATATATAATATTAATATTAATATATGATAGTAGGGTGAACCCTTAGGTAGCGGCCGCTATAATAAAAATTGTCGCACGCAGGGATGCGCGCTTGGTCTCTGTACTGCAACATGTGAGTTGTTCATTAACTGCAAGTGGCAATACTCTCTCCTCCAGGCCTAAAGGAAGGGAGAGGCGCATGCTGGCAGATATTCACATTCAAGCAAAGAACTCAGCAATACTCTAACAGAGGCTTCCATTGATAATTTGCTCTTCTGTGTAGGTCTGACCAAGCAAGTCAATTCCAAATAGAAATCAGATAAATATGAGCAGCAACTAAATGCCAAAAGGCTGGACAACGTACTGACATCAGCCATCATCGATTATTGCAGATGAGGTTCGTAGATCAGCAGGGAGATTGACGAGTACTCATCATCAGTGTCAGAACTTTAGGAAGTGGCGCTAAAGTCCTGAGCTGGATTCGAGCGGTCACTTGCCATTCACATGGCGACTGGTTCAGCACCCTACCACAGCTGAATCTTGTTAGTCCATCTATGAACCACTTACGTTCGACAGTCTCTCAATTGCTTAGCTGCGGTGCTATCGGTAAAGAAGTTGAACTAACGAAAAATCAGCGCCGATCCAAGTTTTTCTTGCCCCCAAGTCTGATGAGTCAACAGGTTTGATTCCTTACCTCGTGACACTTTGTCTGTTTATAGGGATAGAACACTTAAGTTAGAAGGCTATTGAACTGGGATCAGTCTTCTTCGTGGTGATACTTTCTTAACGAATCTGGATTTGGAATATGCAAAGATATTGGTACCCATTAGGGAGAGTCATAGAATATATTTCAGATTCATATCCAGGGAACACCTTTCCAATATAGGGCTATACCATTTAGGTTTTTGTGCCCCTCATGTGTTCACAAAGTTATTAAGACTCAGACCATCTCTGGTATACCTTAAGGAAAAATTGGGCACTTTCAGGCCCAGTATTAGATTGTGACAGAAAGAAAGTATCTTTACTTGAGCGAACGAGGCAGACATTACTGAATCTAGTAAGGGCAATAACGGACAGCAACCAAGACAGGCTCCGAAACTTTGCGGTAAGCATCGGGATCTTGGAGTCAGCTTGTCTTTCACTTCGTTACACATATACACTAACGAGTGAAATTTCTTGCCCTATAAAAATCCGCAATGGAATTTTAACGCTACTGTGTCA